ATTTTTCTTTGATGATGATTGTATGAATGTTTTTCAATTGTGGAAAGAGAAACTAGTTAATGCTCCTATTATTGTTGCACCTTTTTGGGATTTGCCTTTTGAGATAATGTGTGAAGCTAGCAATGGTGCTTTAGGTGTAGTTTTAGGACAAAGAAAAGATAGGAAATTTCACACTATTTATTATGCAAGTAGGACAATGAATAATGCTCAAAAGAATTACACTACTACTGAAAAAGAGTTGCCTGCTATGGTGTTTGCTTTTGAAAAGTTTAGGCCTTATCTAATTTTGTTTAAGGTGATTGTTTATACTAATCATTCTCCGCTTAAATATTTGCTTGCTAAAAAGGATGCCAAACCTAGGTTGTTGAGATGGATTTTGTTGCTGCAAGAGTTTCACTTAGAAATTAAGGATAGAAAAGGTGTAGAAAATTCTATTGCTGATCATTTGTCCAAGTTAGATGAGGTGCGTGTGGAATGTGGGGATGATCAACCTTGCTTGATGAGTTTCCAAATCAGTAATTGTGTTTGGTTTCTTTGTGTGCTCTTTCTTCTTTACCTTAGTATGCAGATTTTGTTGATTATCTTGTGAGTAATGTCTTACCTCCTAACTTATCTTTTCAACAGAAAAGAAAGTTCTTTTTTGATATTAAACATTATTTGTGAGAGGAACCATTTCTTTACAAGATATGTGGCGATGGAATGATTCGAAGATGTGTACCACAAGAAAAGGTAGATGCAATCTTGAGTTTTTGTCATGACAAAGAAGCTGGTGGTCATTTTGGTGCCTCCAAAACAGCATATAAGGTTTTGCAATGTAGATTTTATTGGCCTTCTTTATTTAAACATGCTTATGCTTATGCTTATGTGAATGCATGTGACTAATGCCAAAGAACTGGTAATATTTCTAGGAGACATGAAATGCCTTCGACTAATATTTTAGTGTGTAACATATTTGATGTTTAGGGCATAGATTTCATGGGTCCTTTTCCTTCATCTTTTGGTAAGGAGTATATTCTTGTTGCGGTAGATTATGTGAGTACATGGGTAGAGGCTGTTGCATATCCTACTAATGATCCTAGGGTGGTTGTTAAATTTTTGAAGAGTAATATTTTCACTAGATTTGGCACACCTAAGGCTGTCATTAGTGATGGAGGTAAACACTTTTGTAACAAGCAATTTGAAAATTTATTAACTAAATATGGTATTACCCATAAAATTGCTACTCCATATCACCCTCAAACAAGTGGGCAAGTTGAGGTGTCTAATAGGGAATTGAAAAGAATTTTGGAAAAGATAGTTAATTTGTCTAGAAAAGATTGGTCACTTAAGTTAGATGATGCACTTTGAGCTTATAGGACAGCTTACAAAACTCCAATAGGTATGTCTCCTTATAGGTTAGTTTTTGGTAAGGCTTGTCACCTTCCTATGGAACTTGAGCATAAAGCATACTGGGCTATCTTGAATTTTGATTCGAAAGATGCAAGTGAACATAGAAAATTGCAATTGAATGAATTGGAAGAGCTATGACTTGATGCCTATGAAAATGCCAAGATCTACAAGGAACGAACCAAGGCATGGCATGATCTACATGTGCAAAAGAAAGAGTTTCACGTGGGTGACAAGGTTCTTCTTTTCAATTCTCGATTGCGACTTTTTCCAGGTAAGTTGAAATCACGATAGAGTGGTCCTTTTGTGGTGACTAAGGTTTTTCCTTATGGAGTTATTGAAATTTCACATGATACTAAGGGAACTTTTAAGGTGAATGGGAAAATGTTGAAAATTTAGGTTGAAAGTGGTAATTTTCCAACATGTAATTCCACCATTTTATTAAAAGATCCTTGACCATTTTGCAATAATAGTCAAGCTAATGATTGTAGAGAAGCGCTTAATGGGAGGCAACCCATCAGCTGTATCGGTTGAAAAATCAGAAAGCTTTTATTTATACACTTCTTGCAAACTGTCTCTTCGTTCGATTGTTGGTTGTTCAAATCACGGATAACTCCTCAACTAAACTTCCTCCCAAATTTTAGGGATTTTTGTTTCTTTGAAATTCAAATTGCAACAAATCGGATAACCTTTATCTTCCCAACCAATTTTTAAAAATATGCATCCCTTTAGTAGATTGGATCTCACCTTATCCATTAACATATGGCATTACTAAAAATGCAATTTATGGTGTAAACAATGTCCCCAACACTTGATTTTATGAAAATAAAATCAAGTGTTTATAAATTAAATAAATTGCATGCAAACTCCAGCCACCAATGACTTTAAGGTTTGAAAGAGGAGATCTCAAACCTTGAGGCCAAGCTTGTAGAACTAAACAAATAGATTCCCCTTACGAAACAAACAAAAAAGAGCTTGGTAAAATAGCATAGCAAACTTCCCACAAATATAAAGGCAAACTTAAATGCAGCTTCCAAAATCAAATATCAGTTTTCCTCTCTCATAGCCTCTATAGATGAAACTATTGTCTCATACTTGATTTGCGATAGGTTGAAATATGTCACAACCATAATCTAGCCACCAAGATTGCTCACGGCCAAATTTGGCCAGCTCACAAATTCATATTAGCACTTTTATTGAAACTCAAAAAATGCTAAATTGGAAAAAAGAAAATACAATGCAATTTCACCCAAATCTAACTCAACCAAAATTTGAAATATCCAGATTTACCTCTTCCAATGGATCTTGTACTTCTGCTTTCAGATTGTCAAGTTTGGTTGGAGCTAGATCTAACTCCTCCAGAGTAACCTCTTCTGTTATATCTTTCCCTTCACATTTGTGGACTAGCTTAGATCTATCTACATTGATCAGTTTTTCTGTAATATAGGCCACTATTTCCTTTTGATTTCTTCCACGGCCTCTTTCTTCTAGCAATTAATTTACTGTCTCTTCATAGAATTTCTTCAATTTTTGCCTCCTCCCTCGGCCTAAAAGGAACGATTGCTATAGGTCGAAGGAGTTCATCACAAACCTCCTTCACTGTATGTCTAACAAGTGCTGATCTAGTATTAGCAATAATTCTTGTCGGTTTGCCATTACGATCCATCCCAAAGAAGTGAATGGTCACAATTTCTTCATCCTAGTAACGAGCTTTCACTGAATTGGTGTTAGCCACAAAAGGTTTGTTATCAGCTTTCAGAACCTTAGTTTTGCCACCATTCCAGAATATCAATTTCTGGTGCAAAGTTGAAGGAACATACCAACTAGAATGGATCCAATATCTCCAAAGTAATGCATTATAAGTGGCTATAGTGTCAACCACAAAGAACGCACACATGTGAGTCCTACAGTAAACTCCACTGGCAGAAGTCCTCTAAAGTGATTTACTCCTCCTGTGAAGTCGCTAATTGTCACTTCTGTCTCTATAAGATCTTTCAAAGATTTGCCAATTTTGTGTGACATACAAGTTAGCAATACATTGACAACAGTACCATTGTCCATCAGAACTTGATTAATTGGCATACCATCCATGTGAGCATGAATGTATAATAGCCTTATATGTCTGGCCATCCTTTCTTCTAGCTTCTTAAAAATAATTTTATCTGTTGAAATCTCATTTTCATCCTCCTTTGCTCGAATCTCAATAATTTCTTCCTCAGCTTGATCTGTTGCTTGATCTACTTGTTGATAATCTGCAGATTTTGGTTCTCCTTTGGCTTGGAAGATCAGAGGAAGGGTAAGCACCAAACAAGA